CGCGACCCGGAGGGCCGTCAACAAAGTGGTGTACGATGACCACGAAAGCGAGGAGGAGGAGGAGGAGGACATGGTCTCGGAGGAGGAGGAGGAGGACGGCGACGCCGAGGAGACCCAGGATTCCGAGGACGACGAGGAAGACGAGATGGAGGATGACGACGATGACTCTGATTACCCGGAGGAGATGGAAGACGATGACGACGACGCAAGCTACTGCACCGAGAGCAGCTTCAGGAGCCATAGCACCTATAGCAGCACTCCAGGTACCCACCCAGCCGGGGCGCCGCGGATGCTCCCCACCTCCCTCCCCTCCCCCCTCGCCCTCCCTCCCGAGCGCTGTGCATCCTGCTCCGGCCTCCCTCCACCCCCGCCGCCCCCCCAAACCGGGGGGGAAACGCGACGGCACAGCCAGTGGCAAAAAAACGAGGTTTACCAGAGGAAAGAGGCGCATTGTTCAAAATGGAGATTGCATTGTTGCACTTTGCAAGCCACACTCTCGCTCGCTCCCTTTCCCTCCCTCCAGACCCCCCTTTTTCCCCAGTGCGTGCCAGTGCAGTGTCTGAACCGGGCAGGGTTGGAACTTTGGCATTCACATCTCCATTGCATTAATGCCTCTCTTTGGTTTGGTTTGTTTGGGGAGAGAATTGGGGGGGAGGGAGGATATTTGAAAGAAACCTGTTGTTTTTGCAAACGTCTTGGCATTTCTCATATTTTGCTTTTAGATTTTTATGGTCTGTCTGCACCTTAGAAAGGGGGCTTAAGGATTTAGACAGGTTGTGTGGCAGACACACGTACTTGCCTTCACACCACTTGTTGTGTGATTTAAAGTTTGTTAAGGAAATAGATCGGTTGGGTTAGAAGAGAAGCCTTATCTGGTCTTGGGGTGTGTGTGAGTGTTTATTCTCCTGGTCTCAATGGGCCCGTGCAACAGTTGCTGATAAATGGCTTGATTCAAAAGCAAGCCAAACTGGGTTGTCCGTTCGGTTTCAAAATAATTTTGGTAAAATCTAAAATAAAAGGAAAAACCAAGGGCACACGTCGCTAACTAATTTGATAGCTGTGGTTTTGCTTGGAAAAGGCGGTTTTGTGTCACCTGTTGCAAGAAGATGTGTAGGTGATTGTCCGGACATAGTTATTATTTAAGACCTTTTGGACCCCGGGGAATTGATGACAAAATGAACTCTTTTCACTCTGGTGCCGAGACTAATAAAAGTCTACTGTGGATCAGTAATGAACTTCTCAGTGGTGACTCCTGTTCCCTCGCAAAAAGTTTGTCCAGGCTGGTGTGGAAATGCTTGTGGTTAAGAAACAAAACAAAACAAAACGCCTAAAATCAAGCACAGTTGCTGTTTTGTATTAAATAAGTAGATGCAGCATACGAAACTCTAAAAAACAAAATAAAACAACAAACACTAAACATAACTTGTAATAGAAACCTCCAGGAGACTTTATATTTTAGGCTCTCGGGGCTAAACTCTCTGGCTTTAAAAGTATTTACAATGCAAAGTTTATGAGGAAATAGGACTTTAGAAAAGTAATGAAAATTTTACACTTGTTTTTAAAAAGAGAAACTAGGTGAAATGTAAATTTTAATATTTCCATTTTTTAAAAAATAAATGCTTAAGTGCTTATTGAAGGAATGGTATGCCAGATATTAGCTAATTGTGATTGTCTTAAGAGCAAACAGAGTAATTTCTTTTGCCTAACAATAGTAATTGTTGGGGGGGGGGGTGGAGAGAGGCAGGAGAATGGAGGCAATGAATTCCTTAGTGTTTGACTTCTATGCAAAAAAGAGTGAATTAAAGTTTTTTGCTTCTTTCAGCTTAATTTTAGTCAATGGGTTATGGCAATAGCAATTACTTTTTGAAATCATATGTTGGTCAGCTTTTCCCCAAGAGCCTACCGAGGAATGAAGCTGAATTATGGGAAGGTTCTGCAGGAGCTAAGGAGTTTTGGTCGGGCAGTGTTTCCAACTTTTAACTTCTGCTTGAAGGTCAGACAGATATTCTTTGACTGTGCGTGTCTTCAGTTAAATGACAGTTCGTGGTCAGAATACCTTATTTAAGAAACACTTTTACAGTATGTTTATGCTGCATCCATGACATTTGCCTTTTGGGGTCCTTGATGACATATGTAGTTTACCTTGTGTGTACTTATGCCATCTCTTTGTCAACTCCTTGATGAACTCCCCTGACTGACCCCAGTCATGGACATAGTTGGACAGCTAGGAAGTAGGAACTGGTAATAGATGAAGTTTTGCTGCGTTTACAGTGGGTGCCATAACTCCTAAGACAGTTTGACCAGCAAATGTTTTAAGTAGCAGAGCTCATTGCAAGAGTTGTTATGTTGTATTGCTTGCCAAGCATTTTCCACTTTGTGGTGGTTTTGTCTTTGTCCACATTACAACAAATGGAAGGCAGAGTTTGAGTGTACCTGCTTGCCCAGCATGAGTGATGGTGCGTGTCAGGTGAGGGGGTAGGCAAAGGACTCATTCCATTAGCATTCTGTACTTCTTGAGAACAAGCCTTTTAGGTAGATGTGTTTATGTGCTTGAGTTTTGGAAGAAAAGATGTTCTAGGTGTGGTTTATGATAATCTACAGACACATGAAGAAATATAATTAAGTTGTATCTCGTTGTGCTTTCAAACTTAAGATAAAAATAGGTTTTAGTGCTAATTCTGAGAGCATTGCCTTACCTGTTGCGGTTGAGTGGATTCTAAGGCATGGCAACCTCATCATTTTCAGAGCAGAACCACTTTCCACAGCACAGAAAGTGAATTAATAGACTTTGTTCATGGCCCACAAGGTGGATTCAAACCTCCAGTCTTTTGGTTAGCAGCTGAGAGGAAATGGTTTACACTAGTTCTGGGACCTACTGAGTATTGCCTCAGGTACTGATACATTAAGTTGCCACTGTAAGAATAAGTAATTAATCTATTTATTACTTTGTAATAAAGTGATATAACTTGATGCAAAGACAATATTGCTACTTACTTGTTTAACATCATAGATTTTTTTTTTAAAGTTTATTTGTTTGAGAGGAAATGTTTTCCTTTTATGGAGAAAATTTTAAATGAGTATCCAAAGTACATCACAAGAAATGCTGTAGGAATGTTTATTAATAAGAATTGAAATAATGTGAGTCTGTTTAAACTGGAGGCATTTTGTCTAATGAAGTTTTTATTCATTTTCATTTTGGTAAATTTAGAGTTATTTCCACATATAGATTTTATTAAATGCTTTGGCACTACATTGAGAAAGATTATATAGGAAATGTTTTGACTAGGCATTTGGTAAAGTTCTGACAGTGTTTTAAAATCGAGCATTTGATGAATTTTAAAAATCACAAACAGTGGTTCTTGCATTGGACTTGAATGGAACTTCTGAAATTACTTATCAGAAAAATTGGAAATTTGGACCTTCTGATTTCAGAGAGCAAAACCTTGGGAGACTTAGTGACTTCAGAAACCTCATAGTGTAGAGGTAACATGTTGGCCTCTCAACCAGAAAGTTGGCAGTGTGAACCTACCAACCACTCCAGAGGAGAAAGGTGGGTTGTCCCCTGTAAGATTTACAGTCTTGGAAACCCAGTGGAGGGCCACTATAAGTCAGACTGTACTTGAAGGCAGTGAATGGAATCCAGCCTGTGGCATTTTAAATCACCTCATATGCAGATAAAAGCTGGACAGTGAATAAGGAGGACTAAAGAAAGGGAAAAAGAGGCCTTAGAGCTGCATTGAATTGGTGGAGAATATTGACTTTACCATGAACTGCCAAAGGAGCACCAGAGTCCTGTCTTGGGAGAAGTTTAGCCAGAATATTCTTTTGCAGCTAGGATGGCAAGTTGTGCTTGCTTACTTCGGACATGCTGTCAGGAGGGACTAGTCTTTGGAGAAAGACGTCCTTTGTAAAGGAGAGGTCAGTGAAAAAGAAGACCCTCCGTGAGATCTACGGACAGTGTCTGCAACATTGGGCTCAGATGCAGCAGGGACGGGGAGGATGGTACGGGACCGGGCAGGGTTTGGGGTCCTTTTACATAGCATTGAGTCAGAATGGATTTGTACAGCAACAAGGGTGGTGATAGTGGGGATCAGAGACAATTTGCCTGCAACAAAATTTGTTCCTGGTTTGGCACTATCTGCTTCCTCACTGTCAAGCAAATATCTTTTCAGTGTTTATAATTCCTGATAGCTACAAGTGAGGTACAAAGTGCAGTGGAGATTGGAAGGAGGGGGAGATGTTTAGGGAGATGGTGTGTGTGTGTTCCTTCCATGATGGCCTGTGGACGATGAGGACGGAGAGAGCAGTGTGAGCAGACACAGTGGATGGGGAAGTGTGGGAGTTGAGAAGCCCACTGTGTGACCACGCTAGACACTGTTAGCACTCGTTGGTGTGCTGTGTTGGGCAGAATTCAGAGCCCAGGGCTATAGCAGTTGTTCTCTTACTCTCTTCTCTCTCTTCACACTCCCAATCTATAGAGTGAGGAGTGAGCTGGATCAATGATATTCATTCATTGTGCATTTCCAGAATGTGCTGTGTTTTAGTCAGATGAGCATCAAACCAAACCAAACCTCAGTGTTAAGCCACAGGTGGGACTCTTTCTTCTTTACTGAAAGAGGTGGTTTCTGAAATCCCCTTTCTCTAAAATCTGTTGTGAGTGTATTTCACTTGTGGGGTTGGCAAGAGGAACTCTTGGGATTTCAGTGGGACCTTTGGAAGTTAAGCATAGCTTCTTTTTAGGTAAGGTCCATTGAAGGGGGCAGATATGAATGGATAGGTTCTGTAATCCAGACCTGAGATACTGAAAATGTGATTAGAGTGATTGCAATGGAAACTGAGGCGCATTAGAGAAGAATTTAAAGTTCCCCTTAAAGGTGAAGACAAAGAACAGTAGTGTCTTCAGGATCAGTAGGGAAGTCAAGACCTTATAAGGAGTTAGTGAGACCTGTTTCCAGGTATCTGCACTTGAAGGGATTAAAACCATGAGAATGAAAGAGAATTGAGAGCCATGGAGTTAATAAAATGATGGGCAACAAAGAGGGGTGTCGTATTATGCACTGATACTCATGTGGCCGTATCTGTCTCTGTGCTCATCCTTTGGAATATTTGGAAATGGAGCAGGGTTTTGAAGTGTGCAGATGTCCTTCAGGACTGCGATTCTGGTCTCTTAGGTCGTTCTTTCCTCATTCCTTGAGACCCTGGACTCTCTTGGACTGCAGATCCTCATGGCGAAGGCATTTGGGGTGACATAGTGAGGAACAAA